CTGATCTTATAAACCACAAGTTGTTTAGTTAAAATCAAATAATAGTGTCTATCCAAGACTCTCCTGGACCGCTCATTTGTCATAACTTCAAATAATATTTTGGGATAAGTGCAGAGAGATACATGTGGTGTAGCTGGTTTTTGTTGATTTGAATAGTCATCTACATCATCTGCCTGAAATAGTAATTATTAGCCTGTTTTTTTTTATGTCTAGCTAAATATTCTACAGAAATATCATATTCGATAAGAAGCCTATTTTTGTTTTTGCATTTTCAGTGGCTAAGGATTTAATTTAATGTAAAACTTAAAAAAAACAACAAAAAAACAAAACTAGTCATACATTCTCTTGAACTGTTTTTAAGTTGATTATATAGTTCACCATGAGTTCTGTTATATTTTGAAACATTTTTAGTGTTTTATCAGCATCTCATAATAAACCATGGCTTTAAGTTAGCATAGAATAGGAAGTTATGAATTAGATGCTAACTGCGGTATCGTTGGCTAACTATAGTTTCTTACATTGCACATTTTTTTTTACAGACTGCTATACACTGTGTGTATGAACAATAGAAAACGAGTTTAGGGCACAGCTGGAATGCATTTTTGTGTTCAACCACTCCTGCCACCCAACAGGCCTCTGTTACCCTGGGCAGTTTGCCATATTACTAATGCATTTGAAGCAAATTGCTCCTTGTCTTGAGCCTACTTTCTGTTAAAAAGTTAGTATTCTCTTTTAAAATTATAAATATATCATGTCTTAAATCTTGAAACATATGCTTTTATCTTCCAAATTATTTACCAGTAACATTTTTAGTATTATAAACTGATCTATACTGATTGATGGGTCCAAAGAAATCTTTTTCCTTTACCCTCTAGTTTGGCTGGTCATTGCACTGGATCACAATTTAATGCCAGAGAAGCCTCTTGCAGTTGGCGAGATGAAATCTTGCATCAACATGACTGGGCATGTGTTCTCTTACACCCCTGTGGGAGAATCTGGGAGCTTTTTATCACCTTCCTGGGCTGCCGAGCTAAAATAATGCCCCCTCTGTTATCCGCATCACCGACGTACACTGAGCATGTCTGAAGGGATATCCTGCTGGCGAAATAAACGCATTCATCCTGCTTGCGGCGGATTTGGTGACACAAGATTTACAAAATGTTCCACACATCTCCACTCGCCTCTTTCAGTAGACTGAATAGGGAAATGGACCTCAGTGCATCTGTTATATCAGAAAACAGGAGTTTATAAAAAGTGCCAACATGAACAAAAAAAAAGATAGGAGACTCAGATCAGCAGGTTTGGCTTCACTTAAACTGCACTTGCAACAAAAGCATGGAAAGGAAAGTTTAATTTTCAGGATACTTTGGCCTATTATCAGCCAATCTTTTATATATAGTTATGTTACACTAAGAAGCTTTAACATTTTATCAATAACCTACAAGTTCTAACAAAAAGGTTTATAGAGCCAATTGCCCAACAGCCAACCCAATGACTTCAGCAAAGTTTTAAAACCACTATGAAACAATTCTGTGGGCTGGATAAGGAGGAACCATTAAGTAGCTGAAGTAATTCAAAACATCCACTAACCATAATACACTGTGTGGTTTCTGATTTCTGGAAAAGTGAAGTACTTAAAAACAATCGAATTTGAAAAGTTTCATCCTTCCCTTCAGTCTTTCCCTCTCTGCAGCAGCCGACGCCACTGCGGGATAAAAATACCAAGAATAAAAGCAGAGTAAAATTGTTCTCTGAATAAAAACACGGAGCTGTCTCTGCTATCACAGATCGGTCCGGTTGTTTGACCCAAACCACACTTGTGGTAAAGCTCTTGTCATACCAGCTACCAGCAATGACATTGACATCAGAAACCAGAGGAAGCCCGGCTTCGGCCACCCAGGTTTTCCAGGGGTCTGAAAAGCCAGAGAAAGTGTATTTTGGACAAGTCAGTCGGCTACTTTTGCATTTCCTATTATTAATTTTATGCAGCCAACCAGCTTCTGCTCCTTAAATCATACCTGTGGTTTAAAAACGGCTGATGGGACGCCTCTCTCTCCTCTTTTTAAGTTATGATGAGTAGATTATCTGCCTTATCCATCTGGTATTCCAGGGATTGCGCAAGTCACTTTCACTACAACACTTATACCAGATGTGTTTCTGACATTTTGTAATTGTTTTACAGTTCAACTAGCTTTGACAAGTTGAAAATACAGTTTAGCCCTTTCCTTTTAGTGCTGTCATGTTTTGACACTTTTGTGTTATTGCAGCATCAGAGCTGCTAAAGAGGGGAAACTGTGGTGAGAACTCATTTCAGTCGTTTCTCTTTTCTCTTTATGCTTTTTTAAAAAATGTGTGTACAATGTAAACACAAGGTTTAAAAGGATTAGAGGGACATTCACCAAGGTTCTGCCAGCCACTTTTTCTTTCCTTTGCCAAAGCTCCTTGTACTTTCAATAAACCTTTGCAATTGTTGTCTGCTAGACAGTTTCATTTTCAACGGCTATCAACATTGGCACCTCCGATTACATTCATTGTTGGTTAGGTAATTAGTTTTACACAAAACACAATGTGTTTTTCCAGTGTGAGGAAACACTTTGAATTTCCTCAGTGTGGTTAATAGTGTCTCTCAGCGTTAAGTCTTAGAATCATTGAAATTTATATTATTGACAATGTTGTAAAATTGCCAATTTTGCCTTTATGCAGATGATACAGTTTTGTATCAATTCAATTCAGTTCCAAAATACTGGGACATTAATTTAATTAAAGAGTTATTGCAGATGGTGATGGTTATGGGGAGGAAAGATCTCCTATAGCGGTCTGCATTACAACAAATTTGAAGAAGCCTCTGACTGAAAACTTTGTTTTTCTATGACGGGCTCATAAAGACGACAGTTGGGATTGTCCATAATTTTCTTGATTTAATGTAAAATCCTTCATTGCACCATCACATATTAACTAGCCAAATGTTTTCCATGTTTGACAATTTTTTTTTAAAGTGTAAAAAAAAAAAAAATCTGAAGGCCATCTGTCATTTTGACAGATTACAATTCTTGTTGCAGACTCAGACATTTTCAACTTGTTTTTTTCTTTTCCCCCCACAATGTATTTTAATTTCTTAATTAAACACATTCACCTAATTCAAGCCAAGCTTTGCACCTGGATCCTGGTGTGCTTTTACTTTCTCCACCGTTTTTCCTCAAACCGCTACAGTTAAACGCTTAAACAATAAAAATTCCTTCCACTAAAACTCAACATAATCCAGATCTGTGTTGACTCATTCAGTGAGTGCTTATATATGCTAACCAGTGAGAAACTCCTTCATACAGACAGCTGACCTCATAAAGATGGACCTATTTGTGCCAGTAAAGCGAAGCAGCAGAGAGTCTCTGTGTGAATGTGTTTAGATTCGGTGTCATCTGAGTGCATTAGGCAGAATGTAAACACATAGCTGACATTTACTGAAACCAGTCTGTGTTCTAGCTGAAGAATCAAACAGGCAGCTGTTGTGGCCGCTCGCAAACTTTGAATCTTGATTTAAGTCGTCTTAAAGTTTTGCTTGCCGATACAAAAGGCCGCAGCGTTAAATGCATCTTCCAGACTGCAGACAGACAGCTCGAGGAATTTTTAAACATTAGCAAGAGAAATCCATCATATCAAAACCGTTTTAGGTTTTATTTGGACCTCTGGTGTCTCTCATCTCTTCTGGGACATGACAGTAATTACACCCATCAAGGTGCTTGTCTGGAACCATCAGCCAAGAGTTTGGAGGCTGTTTCTCCTCAGCTCGGACTTCTGACATCAGTGCTTCGTTTGTTTTAGCAGACCCTCAAGTATGCAAAGGCCATAATCGCAGACAGGCCAGATTTATTCTGAGTTCTCGCCCTGGTCTAATTTATATATTAGGTTAACAGTTACTGGAAGAATAATCCTATAAACAAGGTGAAGTAATAGGCAGAGAAAATAATTTGTGGGTAAACTTTGCCTCTGAAATGGTCAGGATGGGAGTTTTCTTTCTTCGTCTGTAACTGTATCAGTGAATCTCGTGATAAACGTAAAGTGCCACTGAATTTACACCTGATATTTAACGTTCTTGACACAAGGAGGGCTTCTTTGCCTTTGAAAATAGTTGTAAAGCATCGTCTTTGACTTTGTGTGAGATTTTTCTAAAGCTTTCAAAATACAATTTAGATTATTTCATAAGTCTTATCTTTAGCAAGGCTTTAGAACAAAAACAAATAAAAATTGATCAAGGTATTTATTGGAAAATGGATGTTAAACAAAAAACCCTGTAAATACAATTTCTGGCATTTTTGTCAACAGACAAACTATGAATATATATATATATATATATATATATATATATATATATATATATATATATATATATATATATATATATATATATATATATATATATATATATATTTATTTATTTATTGTCCAGAACATCCCAATTGCATGATGCCACCAGAAACCTTGTGACAGAGTATTAAAAAGTTTAGAGTGTAAAGCACTATACAGTCTAAGTCTGTCTACTGAGCAAATAAATCACATAAAACTGTTTAACTGTTGAGGCAGTGTTTTTGTTGCAATCATCTATATTGATGATTCACTTGGATCGTTTGGTTAACTAAGGTGAAAATAAACTCTATACAAAATCACACTGAAAACATGAAGAACTAAACTTTTTTTGGAAAAGCTCTAGTGGCAAAACTTGCCACAGATCAGTCGGGAATAGGGCTGGGGAATAAATCAATAATAACATTATATCGTGACAGATAAAATGTTCAATAACTCCACTGGACTCTGGTCCAGAATCACACAGCATTTTGGGGGATGTAGGCACAGGAAAGGCTATAGCTGATCAACCTTTCACGGCTAGCTAAGGTTGGTGTCCTCAGTTAATTCATTCTTTGGTTACCTAGCAACTCACTCATTCCTTGGTTACCTAGCAACAACCAGTGTTTTTGCCCAGACTTCCCCACTGTCTCTCATAACTACTTAAAAATACAAAACAATGATGTGGAGTGAAGGGAGAAAATGAGTAAAACAGCTTGAGAAGAAATCATGAATGAAACAGGAAAGGTAAACAATTATTAATATCTACTGATTTTATATCGGGATGCATTTGTTTTTTGTTTTTTTTTAGCCATATCGTCCAACACTAGTTGAAAGTAAAGCATCTAGAGTCATATTTTTCCATTTCAAGTCAGATTTATTTATTTATTTATTTATTTATTTTTTGGGAGCAGATCTTTATCTTTGAATTGATTTTTCTTTACTTTTCAATTCATGGGGCTAAGATTACATAAAACAGCGATCACAAGACGCCACAAACACACAGTCCTGTTGGCAGATGCAGAAAAGATGTAGAGGTTTGGATTTTAGATCAGATCTTTAGTAAACAGCCTCTGAAACAAAAATAAATAAATAAATCAGGTTGCATGAGCAAAAGGAAAGTCTCTCCTTTTTTTTTTTTTTTTTACACAGACAGGGGAATTAATTAGGTGATAAATGCTGCCTGTTGCTAACAGTAGGACAGAAAACACAGCCGAGCAAGACTTGGCAGCCTTTCTCTGCTGTGTTCCATGAGCGCTGAACTGCGCTCCAGTTTCATGCATGTTTGAAAATGTTGTCACCCTTTTCCCTCTTAAAAATGAAACACTAAACACATGTGTAAAAATTATGGCATTTTAACAGCTACTAAATGAAAAGACAAATTATTTTTCTGCGTTAAAAGAGATGACTGATTTGCAACGCTCGTTACTGAGGTGTTACTCTATTAGGTTTCACGGTATTATGTCAAATGAAGTCAGCTTTTCCCCCCGTGTTAATGTCCTCCATGGCACGTTTTATTCAAAGGGAAGTGGCTCTGCTAAATCAAGTAAAGACATATTAAAATGCTTTAAAAAAAAAAAAGTGAAACGGCTTCGATTTTTAAAATACTACTCTGCGGAGCTAAATGCCAAGTTCCTACAAAGAGTGGAAAATATGGAAAAGTCTGATAAAAGCAAATAAAACAACGGAAATTTGAGTGAGAAAAAGAACGGAGCTGTGACATGAAAAGTGAAAAACTGCACAGCCTCTGCTCCAACTCATCAGCTTCCAGTCCCCACTAAAAGCTGACTTTATGGCAGGTTGGCACTTCTGTCCTGAAATATGTTTTTTTTTTTTTTTTTTTTCCCAGATGGACACGAGTGACAATGAGCTGGTGTTTCTCAGGCCGCCTTGTCTTTCCGTTATCACAGGATGCAGAGCTGGGAAGAGTGAAGAAGCAGCAAAGGGAGGACCGGAGCCTTAGAGCATGATTTACTTGACCTTGCAGCGCTGGAACCAACAACCAGAACCTCATTAATTCCCAGGGTCATTCTGCTTGGACATAACTTGGTTAAAAATCAGAATGAGTGGATGACTTCCAGACGTACACCAAGAGTTATGAAATCCCTGGCCTTAACCCAACCTCCCTGGATCTCGTAGTACCCACTCCAAAACCAAAGCTCTCTCAAAACGGGGGTTTAAATCACGTTGGGTCCTCTTGGAGGAGTCACCCAATCCTGATTGAAGGGAGGAGGCCAAATGGAACATTTTCTGCTTATTAGGCAGCAAATACGCTGTTGTTTTATGTGATTATCAACTATGAATGATTTTTCTCTCCCATCCATTCTGGAACCTTGGCCTGTCTTTTGTTTATAAAAAAAAAAGGAGCTGGAGCAAGAGCAGGGCTGAAAGGGGAAGCCCAATAAATTACACTAATGCACACATTTAAAGGGGCTTATATTCCCTCTGGCCTGTTATCAAGACTACTCCAGTGAGAATGTAAACTACCTCTTTCTGTCCCCCTCCCCTGACCCAATATTCAATGTTAGCATGCTTTAAAACAACTCCTCTGTTTATGTTATCGCAAATAAAGGGGCAGATTATTCCAACTTTTTCTCGCTATTTCATGCTGGCCCCAGATTAGTCAGGCAAATAGTTGTCTAATGGTGCTGCTGGGCTCATTAATCCAAAAAGATAGACCCGGGATTGTGTAAACACAGTGTAGTCAGGGGCAGTGAATCACACCTTCGGTTTGCAGAGGCCGACAGAGAAGGTTGGGGCGGGGGGAGCATGCTGTGTATGGGCCCACACAAGGAAAGTTGTGGAAAGGAAAACAAGCATAATCCTGCTGATAAAAGCAGGATCGCTCCAGCGTTTATTTGGACACACAGTGCCTGGCTGAGGTTAGACCCTAATGAGACAGCGGCCTGTCCAGGATGGATTCATCACCGCCAGATCAGGGTTATCGCCCTCCGCCCGTGCCCCTCTACTTTTAATCAGGCTCCTCTCCGGTCACTCCCTATCTGCAGCAGTCCATCTCTGGAGCCGTCAGCATCCATCAGCGGCTGCAGACAAGTCCAGGGAGCTCCGACCGAGGAGTGCATTAGTAAGTTATTGCTTTGCAGTCTGACTTTATTGTCTGTCATGCTACAGAGCGTGTGCAGAGAGAACACTTACACACTCACACAAGCACGCCATTGCTCTTGTAATAACTTTGTTGCCTGGCAGGAGTGTTCATATCCCTTGAACTTTTTCACATTTTTGTCATCTTACAGTGAAAAACTTCACTGTATTTTATAGGGATTTTACATGCAAACGGCACACTTCACAGTCGTGAGCTACGCGTGCTGGTCTATGTAACCCCCAGTGCAAATATTTGGAGTTATCGGTAAGGTGTCAAAATGTGAAAAAATAAAATAATAAAAAAAAAAAATCCAAAGGTTATGACATGTTTTGCAAGCCGCTGCTTAGAAGAGCTGAAATGGCAAAGAAACTTGAAAGATTTTCAATGTGGAAAAGACATAAAAGCAAGACAAATATAATATAATATAAAAGTAAACTCCTTGATAAATGTTCATGTTAAATGCAGGCTATCATCTCAAATCGGGGCCTCTCAGGAACACATTTGTCCACCGAAACACAAAGTTATCTTCCACCCTCTCAGAGTCATAACATATGTCTATTTGTGTGTGTTTAACTTATAAGGTGATTTAGTGGTGTTAGTGTTTCTCACTACCACGACACGACCCACTCCCACCTCATCAATGCGCCTCCGCAGCCCCAAACAAGGACATTAAAGTCACGACAGCTCTTTGTCTTGTTGTCATTGCAATGAAACAAGGCGGCCGTGCAGCCAGCAGCTTGCATCTTTCTCGAAAAGAATAAATAAATCCATTTTTTTCTCTCTCTTCTCTACCACTCGTCAAGTAAAATACACAAACCTCTGCATCTGAAGGTGGGAGGCCTTGAATCATTCATTGTTGATGTTTAGACCAGTTAAATCAATAATCTCCATCTTCTTGCAACAGTGATAAGTGATTCAGCAGGAAAAGTCTTTAGTTAAGTTCTGAGTAACTGGTCCTGACGGGGGAGATACCTTCCGACGTAAGAGAACAATGTGGCAAACTGCATTTCACTTTTTTGACATTTTGTGGGTGCAGACGACAATGTCACTGTTACTGAGTGGTTAGATGTCTTTAAAAGATATACCAATTGTGTTGCAAAAGGCAGAGAACAGCAGTTTGAGAAGCTTTCAGTGGGACCGGTTCAAGAAAAATGACTGATGCATTGTAGAAATAATTCGTAAATGTTTGAAAAATATTCAAATGCACTTAAAAACTACTTAGTACGCAAGACAGTTTGAAGATAGACTAATTTCAACAACATGAACTGGGTGTAAATTAGCTTTCTTAATATTCTCAAATTAAAACATTTGCAACCTTTACAACTGCGTTTGGGCCTCCAGCGGACAACAGTTATGTTGATTTCAAAATATAAAAATGCACAAAATGATAAAAGTGAGCCTCAGGCTGCCAACGTCGCACACAAAAGTTGCAGATGAGTCACGATGTTGCGTAGGGAAAACCAAACCTTGCAGCACAACACAATGGCCACCCACGACAAAAGAAGTGACAGTCGCTCAAATGTGAGTTTGTATGTTGAATATTTATATGGGCATTTACTACGTGAGGAAAAGTAAATCAGGAGAAATGTTTGTAGCTTGGAGACCTAGTAAACCAGTACTCTGCACGGGACTTTAAAAGTGGTCTGTGGTGAATCCAGTGTGCCTGCTATTTACCACAGAGGCAAATTACCAGTGGTGATAAAAAGCATGACTTTTAAAGTCAGCATCAAGGTAGGCAATTTCTCCCTGTTTGCGACAAACATTATTTCTTTGAAGCATGTCGGCGTTTGCCAGTTTTCCAGCCACATAGAGCCATTTTAAAGCACAATCAAGTAACTATGTTACCTCCAGGTGTTATAAAAATGCTCTATATGCGTCAAAGCTTAATTTTCTTAACTTTCTTATTCAAAAGAAATATGACTTTGCAATTTAATGATCACTTTAAGAAGCCCCTGCTCTTTCTCATTTTCTAAAACATTTCCTAAGAGCGTTGGACTGAGAAGTTCTTTGTACGATACTCAGCAGACATGCAGTTCCACCAGGTGTTTGCTAATTGCAGCTACCGCTAGCAGATGCAGCTCCAGAGAGTAGTCTGAAGATTCAATGATTTCTCAAACATGCATGAAAGAATCAGGGCAACTCTCCAGGTTAAAAAAAAGAAGTCATTTTTAAATAATACCCCTCTTTTAACATGACAGAAATCCTCTTTTCTCGAATCCACTGTAACTAAGATATCAATCAATCAATAAATAAATCTGCATTAAAAAGAACTTTTTTAAGCTTTAGCACAGTGACCTAATTGACTGTACATGGGATAACTGGCATAAAACATTTCCTTCAAAAAGAAATACAAAGTTGGGAATAATTCTGTGTAATTCAGCACTTTTCACAACAATCACAGTCAGCATAGAACCCTTAAAAATGGACATATTTAATATCCCATGTAATTATTTTGCAGTAAATGTAATAGTTTATTGATGGTAATGCAATTTAAAATGTGTGCATAATTGATTGTTGTTTTTGCTAAAAATACTGATTAACATTTTGCCATAATATTTAGAAGTTTTTGCTTCTAATTTTTTGTTTTAATCCATATTGGTTTTCCTCAGCGTATTGCTTTTAAATAGCTTAATCATCTTGTTTTTGGTAAACATTAGTGCTCTCTGGGATTATTTCAAACAATAGGTCGATAATTGCCGGAAGTATTCACTGCTTGTTGCTTTATCACTCAACGACTTAGATTCGTGCTTCATAAGATTAACTAATTCGCCACTTGAATAGATTACAGAAACCTGACGGCGAAGATCTTTGATGGCGGAAAATCCATGATAAACCTGTTTTGGCATTCAGTGACATAACATCCCTCCGTTTTCCCCATAGGCAGTAATTACAGGCCGTGTAGCATGCGTCTGTAGGTCGCGCAGCCTCTGCTGCTGCTGCTGAGGAGTCCTGCATCACATCACAGTCCGTAATGGAAGCCAGATGTCTCTCTGTCTGTTTAACGCTCATAATCAATAGCCTCACTCAGAGCAGCCCTGACTTTCTCCACCTCTCTCCCCTCTGACAGCTTGTTATGAGAGCGGATCAGCGAAGGAATGGCATATCTGCGCTGCAAACAAGCACAAGTGTGTCAAGAGTGAGATTAACTAATTGGATTCCATCCATGAGTCTTTGTTTGGTGGAGGAGGGCGATACGGTGGGGGTCCAAGCGAGGGGAAGCGATCCCTCTCTGAAGCCTCAACAAGCTACATGACACGGCAGGCTTCCACCTCCAACTCCCAGACGAGGAATCTGGGAATGGAGAAACGATGGAAGGAAGGGGATTCCCATAAAAAAGTGAAATCTGTCTAAATAAATAACTTGAAGTGGCACTCGAGGAGACGCAGTGCATCTACATTTCCTGTGGCTGCTTCCTGCCGTCACGTAGGATCTCTACATATCTCTATCCATGAGCTTGTGCCAGGGGAAACATTATGAAGCTGATGACTCTTTTTTTATTTTTTTTCCAGTGTGAGGGGAAGTTGAGGGCCTGTGAACAACACCGGGTTGGTGCAGGAAGAGGCAGAGGTGTGGTGATTGGAGTACACAGGTCACGACCTCAAACTTGTAATGATCACCTGATGGATGTTGTGAGTCTGGGGTCATCTGTGTGTCAGGGGAGAATGGGAAGGAACAAGTGTTGGGCCGCCCTGCACGGCCTGCAAAAAAAAAAAAAAAAAAAAAAAAAAAAAAATCTTTTTCAAAACTTTTTCCAAATATAATTTTTTTTTTAAAATGCCCTTCCTCTTGAAGTAGCCT